ACAAATGTCATAATGAATGCTTCCCCCCTTCTCTTAACTTTTATTGTGGAGCAGATGTCCTATAGTACGAAACATCCCTTTGGTCAGTTCAGATCAGCTGTCCTGGCTGTGTCCTCTCCCAAGATCTTGTCCACCCTCAGCCTAGTGGGTGATGGGGGAGGAATGCTGAGGAGACAGCCTTGATGCTGTGTGAGCACTGCTCAGCATGGCCAAAATACTGGTGTGTTATCAACACCTTTCTAGCTACCACTACAAAGCACAGCACTGTGAGGGCTGCTATGGGGAAAATTAACTCCATCTCAGCCAGACCCAATAAAATGACAGGACAGGGAGAAAAAAATTAGAAAAGGCTTGTGGCTTGAGATAAGGATAGGGAGAGATCACTCACCACTTTGTCATGGACAAAAGAGACTTGCCTTGGGGAAATTAAAATTAATTTATTGCAAATCAGAGTAGGGTAATGAGATATAAACCTAAATCTTAAAACACTTTCCCCCACCTCTCCCTTCTCTTCATGGGCTCAATTTTGCTCCTCATTTCTCTGCCACCTTCCCCCAAGTGGTACAGGGGGATGGGGAATAGGGATTGTGGTCAGTTCATCACGTCTGCTGCTCCATCCTTCTTGTTCTTTCCCTGCTTCAGCATGGGGTCCCTGCCATGGGAGACAGTTCTCCATGACTTCTCCAATGTGAGTCCTCCCCAGGGGTTACAGTCTTCCACAAACTGCTCCAGTGTGGGTCCCTTGTGCAGGGTGCAGTCCTTCAGGAACAGACTGCTCCAGTGTGGGTCCCCCATGGGGTCACAGGTCCTGACAGCAAACCTGCTCCAATGTGAGCTCTTCTCCCCATGAGTCCACAGGTCCTGCCAGGAGCCCCCTCCAGCATGGGCTTCTCATGGGGTCACAGCCCCCTTTGGGCATCCACCTGATCTGATATGGGGTCCTCCACAGGCTGCAGGTGGAGATCTGCTCCACCATGGACCTCCATGGGCTACAGGGCACAGCCTGCCTCACCATGGTCTTCACCAGGGGCTGCAAGGGAATCTCTGCTCTGGTGCCTGGAGCTCCTCCTCCTTCACTGTCTGGGGAGTTGATTCTTTCACATTTTCACTCTTGGCTGCTGCTGAGCAGCAGTGGTTTGTTTTGGTTCTTTTTTTTCCCTCCCTTCTAAATATGTTATCACAGAGGTGTTAGTACTGTTGCTGATGGGCTCAGCCTTGACCAGAGGTGGGTCCATCTTGGAGCTGGCTGGCACTGGTTGTATTGGTCATAGGGGAAGCTTCTAGCAGCTTCTCACAGAAGTCACCCCTGTAGCTCCCCCTGCTACCAAGATCCTTGCCACTCAAACCCAGTACAGACATAGCAAATCTTGACAGACGTTGAGGTAAAACAGATGCAGATACTATGCTGCAGCCATGGTTGTAGCCCACCCGTTTTCTTCCTTCTCTCCTTAAAATCTTCAGTGAGCTAACATTCTGTAAAGATTAGCCAGATTCTAACACTGTGCCCAATTACCTCCCCTACCCTACTGAAGCTAGGTCTTCTTCCAGCCTGCAGGGAGGTCAGCACCTGGTCCTGAATATTTAACTTACTAGGTTAAAGCTTCAGTATTTTCATTAAGCTTGTGGGAAGGATGCTGTGACGTGATTTGGATCTCAATTACAAAGCACAAGTTTAGAGCAAGCCCATTGTGGCTGAATTTATGCCTATGATCTCCTGTGTTTTGTTGGATGAATCATCTGGCCTCAAGTGTAGTTGACATGCAGGGAAGGGAGGGTGTAGCTCTTCTCGACAGCTGTTGTGGTTTTTATGTTGCTCTGACCATAAGAATAGAAGGAAGGAACTTGGTCAGAACAGGTGAGAGAGAGGGAGAAGCTGAGCCAGCCTTTGTAGAATTTGGCTGTAAGTGCTCAAAATCAAGTCCAATGGGGTTTGCCCCTGTAGGGGTTTCCAGAGTGCAAGTATTTCAAAGCATTTGATGGACTGCCAGGTAAAGGTGAATTCTTAAGCTTTCCCAGAGATATTACTGGTCTCTGTGTTCCATCACCTAGTTCAGTTAAATGGAGCATAAGTGAGCTGGGAAAGAACTCTGAACGTGATTTTGGAAGATCTTTTCTGTAATAAGTGCTGTACCAAATTCTTACAATATTCATATACCTAACTGCTTCCTGCCATACAGCCACTAGTAAGGAGTGATGTTTGACAGGTGCTCGTGAGAGAGAACATGGGAGATGTCTGCTTGAGGAATGTAGTTGCCCAGTCAGCGTCTTATATGGGGTCCTGAGGAAGACATCCCAAGTACTTCAGTAATGTCTGTGGGTTGACATGGCTGTAAGTAGCTAGGACCCTTAGTTATAAACCTTTTTGGGCAAAGACTGCTTCCAGTAACACTATACTCTTCAGCAGTGCTGAGACCCAGGCTTTACTGTTATAATGGAGGGAAGAGTGTTGCTGCTTCAGTGGTCTTGCTTCCCATTGCACTTTGTAGTCAGCAGTTGAGTCTTTGGCCTGATTTTACCCCTCCCTGTGAGACAGGATGGAGTTGTGACATGGGCCAGCTCAGAAGAGGTGTGAGAAAAGGCCACTTGTCTATAGTTACAGCACATGAAGTAACTGGATAGCAGTTAGTTTGCGCTTGCTATAGCTGGAGTGTAGGGTGTGCTCTCTTTACTGTCTTCCTGGCATGCTGAGTGGGGAGTGTTCTGTGTGCATTTTGCCTGCTACTGAAGAGCTTGTGTGACAAGCCTGATGAGCTTCTTGCTTCATGAAGAACAGAAATACTATACAAATACAGTAACAGTACTGAAATAAAGCAACAGGACACTATTGTTTCTTTAGGATTTTCAACTGGCATTTCCAGCCTTCTGGCTGCAAGGCAACACTTCTGTGTCAGGAGTAATCCTGAGGAGAAAGCCAACATGCTTGCTGAAGCTTGTTTATCCTAGACTGCACTGTTTTAATTTGTAAGTCAATACTAGTTTACACTGATGTGGTCACTGTTCTGTAAAAACAGTAAAAAGCATTTTTGAAGCTATGTAGCTACAGCTAGTTTTGTTTAATCCATCTTTAGAGGAAACCCTTAAATATACTGGCTCCTGACCACATTGTGATTTGCCTAAATTCTCCTGCATGACTTCATCTGCTTTGTATATATCTGAATGGTTTAGTCTGGGAGACTGAGTATGAGTGGTGGGCAGAACACTTCCTAGGGCCAGATTCTCTGTAGATATGGTGATGTGTATGTTGTTAAAATCTAATATGTTGAAGAGTCCTTGAAATAAGAGCTTGAGCAGCTTGGCTGCTTGTTATGCAAGCCAAAGTCCTTGAAAATAGTGCTTGTGCTTAGTAAATGGACTTGATATTTTTCCCATTGATTTCTGTGTGGTTTTAAAGTTTTAAATTCTCATTAAGTGCTTTTCTGTAGGTCTGATTCTGCTGCCTGTAACAGGTGAATTATTTAACCCTTGTATACATAAATTGCTTAAACTGGCAGAGTATGACTTTTTTTAATGGACTGATGGCTCAGTATGTAACAAGGTATAAGCTGCTTGCAAGGGTTTGTCTCTTGCTTCATGCTCTTCTGAAATTTAGGACTAATCTACAGCTGAACTGAGTGCTTAGTCTAATCAAAACAAGAATAGGTCCATGTGAAAGTTGCATGCTTATGTAGTCTCTGGGCAGGGGCATAAAATGATTCTCACCTCATGATTAATTCTGTTTTTTCTGACCTGTTGTCATCCCACTGTTGCCAAGTGGCTTGACTCTATGGGTTTTCCTGTTAATATGTTGGTTCTCCTTTCCTAAATAATGTGAAAATCATATGGTAAATTTGTACCCATATGTCCTGAGAACCATCTGTTTTGTCAGCTGCTCGAGAGGATGTTTTCTTCATGCACCTTGGTCTAGTTTATATGGTGTCATCATTTTAGAAGCTCGATTGTATGCATTTTCTAAGCATGAATTACTCAAAGCCGCCCTGCTTTACAACAGCGGGAGGCTGCTGTCACCTCAGTGCTTCTAAAAAGGGGTGAAAAAAAGAAATATTGATGCTCCCAATTCCACTAGCTTTCTTTTTCCTGAAACTTTTGAGGAATAATGTCTTTGCAGTCACTGCTTCTTAATGAAATATTTAGACTTTGTGTGGAAACTTTACTGGGAGGTTTGGTCTCAAAATTCACTTGGATGCTTTGGAGACTTGTGTGTTTGTAAAAATAACCAGCTATTTCACAGAGATTAGAGCCCCAGAATATTTTTAAGCACAGCTAGGTAAAATAAATTTTCTCCCCAGGTACACATTATTTTAGTGAAGTGGAAAAAATACAGGAAAATGCTCTAAGATGTACAAGTTGACTGTCTCCCTTCTTTTCTTCCCATATCCCTCACTTGAAAGTGGAAATGAATATCCTGTACCTAGTAATTATGAGAATAGTACTGTAGGCAAGATGCTATAAACATGATTTTGAGAAATCAGATGTGGGCAAAGTGATCCTTACACTAGAAGAATTAAATAATGATGTATAAGACAGCTTGTGTGAGAATTTTTATGTAGAAAATTTAAGGGAAAAGTTAGCCCTGGTACCCTGCCTTTTCAAGGAGGCTGTTTGTATTGGTTGCTTAGCAGAGGTTGTTTCATGTTGGAGTAGCACATGTGGATTCTAATCATTTGTGATGAACGAGTTGAAGATATGCAGGAGAACCTATTGTCTTCAGTGTCCTATATTAAAGGAAAGGTATAGTTTACAGGGCAATCTCTTCCTGTTTTTCACTTGTGTAGACTGAAAAAAGAAGAAACTATCTTCACATTGATGAGAATTCCTTCCTTTGTCCGTTCCTAAAGCACTAACCAAGCTGTGGTCTAGCTGGGAATTCTCCCTTGAGTCATGTTGGAGGCTGGAACATGTCCTTGACTGTTTTAAGACTAGGTAATCTCAGAAACAAGACTGCTAGATAGACAATTAGGAAGCTGTTTACTAGACGTAACTCTGTTCTTTTTTTTTGGCAGGCATCTCCGATGAGGACATCATCAATGTTACTCTCCCCACTGGTGTGCCCATACTTCTTGAACTTGATGAGAATCTGCACCCTCTGGGCCCTCACCAGTTTCTGGGTGATCAAGAAGCTATCCAAGCTGCCATCAAAAAAGTGGAAGATCAAGGGAAAGTAAAATCTGCTGAGAAGTAAAATCCCACTAACATAGTTGTTTTTAAAGTGTGGACATAAGTGATGATTGGTGTATGACTGCTAGGTTGCACTGTGTGAAAGTATCAATTTCAAGCACTAAATAATTGGAAGGGACAGTTGTTGAGTCTCAGGTTGGTAGATTAACGCTCTGCCTTTCAAAAACTGGAATTTAGATCTCAGCATGAGGTTATGAATACTGAAAAAAGAAATCAAGAGATCATTCAGGTATGGAAACTTGCAGGGTAGTCTGCCCCAGATCTAAGATTGAAGGGTGGCCCAGTAAAGAAATAAAGGGATATCTTACTGGTGTCTACCAATAATTAGTCCTAATCTGTGAAGGGGAAAAGCACCAGCTTACTGGACTAATTAAGTCGAGGTTGTTATAGGCACTAAAACTTTCTCACTGATAAAATGGCACCAGGTAACAGAGTTATCCAGTATGACTGTTTTGTGTCAATGGCCATGACAATTTGTTCTGGATGGAGTTCCTTCATTCTTTCAGAATACTTCCATCTGTACAACTCTCCTTCCATGGCCAGTTCGTGGTCCAGAGGATAATTTTGTAGAGATATTCAGACTGTTACCGTTACCATAATTTGTCTTTTGTTACACTATATTCTAGTTTATAAGAAATCTAGAAGGAATTCCTTTTCTTCCATCATCTTTGCAAAGCCTAGCATGACCATTTTGTTGGCTTGCAATAACAGGATTTAACTCAGACATTAGTCCACAAACTAAGCACAAAGGTTTCCTGTTCAGTGTTTAAATTATCACTTAGCTGTTAGTGAGTGATCTGCATAGCTTTGAAACACTCAAGTAACATGTACTAGAGGTTTGATCATCTCTTAATCAAGTTGTTAGAATAATTCCTGTTTACCTCAATAAAACTAGATGTAGGAAAATCCCCCTCTAAGATTTCCTGAGTTGTCAAGATCTTCATAAGTGTGTTCCACAGTAATATTATTTTGTCATTCTCTGTATCAGTTTCTCAGGAGGGCTGGAAGAGATACATATGGCATGTAAGATGGCCAAATGAGCTGCACCCAGTAGCACATCACACCGGTAGGGAAGGATGTTCTGCCATGTCTGAAAGTGTTCTGCTATAAAACTCTCCTCACAATCATAGATTCATTCCCTCCGAGTGTGATCCTGCTGTTGTGTTTGGCACTAAATTTGCTCAGTTCACACTGGTTGGGTGTAGTGTAGCGTGTATGGCAGTTTGCTCTCTGTTCACAAGCATCAGGATAATTCCACTTTTGAAGACTTGCTCTAATCTTACTTGCAGATATGAAAGTGTTATTTAGATTTAGATCTGACTCAGTGTCTCAACACCTGAACATCTGGATTCTGACCTCAGTTACCTACATGGGTGGCACTTGTGTGTGTACTGTTTGAGCTGAATGTGTTCTCAGCATGGCCCAGCTATAAATCTGAAGAAAAGTTGATGAGAAATCCCTTGGTATGATGATAGTATAGACTTTTAAAATTCTATAGTAGCTGCTTCTTTGCAGCGAGCAGCTCTGTAGCTCATGCTTTGTAAGAGTGAGAGGATTTTTTTTTTCCTTTGAGGAGAGCAGTGGGAGTGTGGTGTGCCTCTGACAGTCTCCCTGCTATATGGAGGTAGACTTTCCGGGTCTGATACTGGCTCTTACTAGCATAGCACGTGCTCCATAGAAGACTTCTTGCTAGATGGTAGTTTCTCCTGCATGAATGATGCTTGGGCTTCTCTTTGGTTTTGTTTTTGTAGCCCTTGCAGTAGGAACAAAGTTACATGTTTCTCTTTTAAATATAAAGCTGGTAGGTTTCCTCTTGCTTTGTACAAGCAAGGATATTTCAGTGTGTGTGTGTTTTTTTTTTTTTTTTTTTTCTCTCTTTTTTTTTTTTTTTCCTCTGAAACACTATTAGCAGCTTCTCTGCTACTCTATTTGATACTGACTTACTCCTTTTTGGGTTTTTAGTTTCCTGTTCAGAGAGTAACTCTCAATCTTAGTTGGTACTTTACAAGTCAGTGTTACACAGTTAGACTGTTGATCAGCAAATGTCCATCTGTTAAGGCTCTGAGGGCCACTGGCACCCCAGTGATTAGATTCTTCTCCAAACATTCAACAATGTGTAAAGTTCAGCATCAAGTAAAAGTTACTGTAGTCTTGTTAACAAGGCAAGCAGAGCCACCTGTTGTTGTTGGGAACTGCTGTGTGGGCTTCCAGGCCTTGGCTATCAGTGTCCGTATCCCTTTGGCATTGTGATATTGTAAAGTAGAACTTCTTCAGGACTCGAGACAGCTGAAATGTACTTGGAAACAAACCCATCTGAACTGGGAGATGCTCCTTCCTCCCCTTCCCTTAGAGAATTCATTATCTCTTCTGGGGATGGAGTGGAGAATGGAAAGGTGGATGGGTGAATGTAGAGAGGGTTAATATTTCTTCTTATAGCCAAGTGGATGAAAGTGACTGCAAATAGCCTTTCAGAGAGTCATGGACAGTAAGAAAAGAACAGCAGTGTGATGTTTTCAGGTGACACTATTTCTGCATTGCTCCATAAAACAGGAATTGTGACACTGCCCTGGGAAGTTTGATTTAATTTGTTTTGTTTGACTCCAGGATGATGACAGGATTTTATGTGCACATCTGGCAGCAATATCACCTCACCAAAGTATCAAATGGAACCAACTGGGGATTTCATTGTGCTCTTTAAGATTATTTTAACACCTTACGATGCTTGCTTCAGAACAGCGGTCTAATTAAATTCCTGATTCTTAGAACGTGTATATTGAAGAACAGAAACCATCTTCCACCAACAGTGGTAAGGGTGTCTGATCTTTAGGCATAACTACATTAGGAGAAATGAGAATCTTGCAGGTGGCTTGGGAGATCAGTGGTTGGAAAGCATTTTCCCCGTGTTTGATTATGTCTCAAAGTCCTGTAAGGTAACTGGTGTTTCTACAGTTGACATTATGGATGTGGTTGGTTTGGTTTGTTTATGGATTTTTAACTTGTGGTTCAGTAGCAGTAATAGCTCTAGAATCCTCTTGAAAACCTTTGTAAATATGGTGGAGCTGGCAGGTTCTTTATAACTCAATAAATTTACCTGAAATAGAATTTAACTTTGTTTGTCTTTCTTCCTTTTATTGCCTTCCCCTTTGTTTCCTTTCCAGGGCTGATAAGTAAATAAAACTCTGACTGTCAGGGTCCCAGAACTCATCAGGCAGTCGTTGATCACATATCATGCAGTCAGTTGGGTTAAAATAGTGTAAGAGCAAACACTGCCTCATGATTACATGTTAAGTTGCGCTGGAGGGGAATACATACCTGTTTGAAACTATACAGGCATTTGCATAGGAACAACAAATGGAACATTTGGTTTCAGAACAATAAAGCTAAACCAATGTTCACTGTTTCACATGCTTTTTAATAAGAAGCATTATTTTTTGATGGTGTGTTTAAAATTGTAGCTTCTGGAGACAAAGCCAACTTCTTCACTGTCCAAAGTACTCTGGTGTCAAGCAGAGTTATGACTTGAATGACAAGTGCAAGGAACTGCAAGCCTGCTGAGGACTGTTCCTTGTTATTGACTTTCATGCAGGTGACCTTGGCTACTGGGAGAAGGGGAAGCAGCATAAAGGTCCTAATAAAGTTGAAGATTCTGGCAGAAATGGGGAAGACACAGCTGTGTGGCTTAAAACAAAAGCATGCTGAAGAAACTGACTTCAAAAACTTGGTCTTATCGTATGGAAAGAGTGGGGAATGGAGCAGATCTGTGAGGTCCATTTGCACACTGATATTTTAACGCTGCAGTTAATGTGGGAATGCTCCTAGCTAATTCAAAGTTGTATCGATGTGTTCTGTGACCCCCATCTTCCTCTGGTCACCTTTTGTACTTTGCTCTGCCTTGGCTAAATTGTACCTTAATTATACCTCAGATTCTTCCTGAGTCATGTCCACTGTTTCCTATATTGGGAAATTGCCTTGTCTGTTTTGTGTGCTGGCTATAACCTCTCCTCTGTCTTAAATTCCCATGGGCAGGAAAGAAAGCAAATATAACCACTCAGCTGCTCAAGAAATCTTGGAGCTATGGTAGGAAGAGACTCAGTGATTCAGAGGGAGAGTACAAACAGGTTTGGAGAGAAGGAACCCCCGCTTTGAGAGCTGTGCCAAACAGGTGTTGCTGCTTCTTCCTTGTGTGGGCAAAGGTTCTGGAGTGGGTGAATACAAAAGGGAACTTGACTTTAGCATCACATAGAGGGCAGGATGGCTATGACAGGGCACTCCTCTCTCCTAATACCTTATTAACTTTTCAGCTCCCAGGCCTTCTTGGGGCTATTATAATAGAATTTAGCAGCTCTGATGTCCCCACTCTACAGAAGGAAGGGGGAGAGTGGGAAGAAGCTCCCTGTCCCTGCTCTTTATGTTATGCTGACAGAACAGGGGAGGGCAGCAGATAACAGTCTATGGCTGTTGCTGTGCTGTGAAGTGAAGCTCCATGCAATAAAGTGGCCTGAAGATGACTTCTGATTGCTGGGTTTGAAAGGAGAGGATGTTGATCCACACCTTGCTCGGAGATGGCAACACATGCTGTGGTTACTCTGTTGGGCTCCAGAAAGCAGTTGTGGCTCTAACAGAACTCCTAGCATTAGAAGTGCTGTGTTGCAAGCATATCCTTTGTTAATACAGTTGTGTGTTTCCTCAGGTCTCTTCCAGCTCTCCCTCAGTATGACATGTAGGCTTGAGCCATTTCCCCATCTTCTGTATGGCATTTGCATGAAGGAAAAGTACTTGTATATACTAAATAAAATAAATTATCTTCTAGAAGAGCAGTGTGAACCCAGAGACAGCAAATGCTGAAGTTTAGTTGCTGTTGGCCTTGGAGGAGCCAAGCAGCGCTTTGCTGCCTTCCTTCAGGTCAGTCCTTTGGAGCCCTTAGGAAGGAGCAGGCCAACCAAGTATCCCAGAGGACTCTGCTGCTGACAGCACTGTTCAGTGGAAGTGTCTCTTTCAGTTAAAGACAGTTTTCCTCCTTGTTCCTGGTGCAATCCTAGCACAAGTGCTGGAAAGGAGAAATGTGCATTTGCTATTAATCCCCTAATCTAAACTGGGGATGCTTTGCTTAGGAGTCAACTACCTAGTAAATGCTACTTTCCTGATAGATGCTTGTCGGGCTCTCAGTAACTCTCTAGCGTACTATGATTAAAGCTGAGCTAGTTTTCTAGATCAGATCTGTGGCTCTCCAGCTATTCCTAAGATCCGCTGATTCTGCTTTCCAGGATCTGCACAGAAGGCAGTGAGTGGTATTGGCTATGCTAGGAGCGAGTAAGCAGGCACAAAGATCTGTAACTGTCCCTAAAGACAAAGCAATTGCTCTTACACAAATTGCAACTGTGGGTGGACTTGCAGAAATGCAAGTGGACAACAGGTGGAGCAAGCGCACTGTGGTAAGTATGTGTGGGAAAACGAAAAATTTTACACTCCTGTGTGCGTACAGGGATAACAAGGTGTAATCAACCTCTCCTGAAGGGCAGCACATTTTATATCTGGCAGTGCTGCCCTACATTTTAACAAATTGTGTGAAGGTGACTTAGTTCTAGTGTGGAATAAATTGCAATCATCATCTAGGTTGCTTCTGCAGACTGGTGATTAGTCCTGGTTTTGTCTGGCATCAGCAGTTTCACCAGACCAGAGAAATTCAATAGGAGCAAGACTGGCTATTTGCAGACATACTTAGTCTGAATAAAAAAAACCTCAAAACAACAAACAAACAAAACCAACAAAAGCCCACAGTTCTGGTCAGAGATAGCGCATTAATAATTCTGTGCATCAGGAAGTATTGGGGGAAGTCAGTGTTTCATGAGAAAAGCAGCTTGGCAATGAGCAGATGTCAAATAAATTTAAAAAAATAAAAAAAAAAATGGAGGGTGCTTTGGGTTTCAGGGATCTGATGTCAGATACTCTTATACTATTTTTTCCAAAGGACTGTGTATTATTCTTCTTTCCCTATCAGAAGTTGTGGAAACTTAAAAGCATTTTACATGCTTTCAAATCGAGCTTTAAGTAGACAGTCCAGAACCCCCCTCTTATCTAAGCAAAGTGAGTGTGTAGGTGTAGCGGATAGAAAAAGACCCCAACAAAGCACACTCCTAGCCTTGTACTGTGAACCCCACTATTGCTGCCTTCCTTATCATGTTAGTGTGAAAAATGCTCATTACTGATATAAAACTAGTGAGCTTTGTTTTTGCACTTGCTGTATACCTCAGCCCATCCCTATAAAGGAATCTTTTTCTAAGTACACGCACGCACACACATTTCAATTTAATGAAGTATTGTGGGAACTGATACTCAATTTTTCAGGCAATAACAAGGTAGAATAAACTTTCACAGGTCTCATTTTCCCAGATGAAAGCCTTAGGAGTCCTACTGAAATTAAAAGTACTCTTTCAATACTGGAAATCTTATGTTTTGTGCTTTTCTTCCACATGGTTGGCTCAAGTGATTTTCACAGCCAGCAGCTAGGAATACCTTCCATGAAGATGTAAATCTCCAGGCTGCTGATAAGAGATTTCTGACAAGATCTGAGAGCTATTATTTCATCACCTCATCTCACTGTTGGGGATAACTGAGGTACTTAAGCAGTGATTATCGGTAATATAAGGTCAAATATTCCTCTTCATTTTAAAACTGCATGCCTTCTTTTATCTATAGGTAAACTTAATTTGTTTCTCAGAGTCCTTGTTATATTTAATAATTTTAATTCTCCATGATGCCAGATTGGGCTTGATCTGATCTCAATCATCTGCTGGTTTATATAGTAGTTGAAGTACATTTTAACATTAAGTAACATACGCTGGCAATATCAGATGTAGACATGTGCAAATAATGATTACAAATACACATGGTTATTTTTATGCAAATATAAATGGATAATTTTTTATTTTTATTTAACTTTTTTAAAAAAAGTAACAATTTTCTGTTATTAGTCCTATGCTCTGAACGTCCTTGTTAATATTGCTGTGTTAAGTAGGCTTTATGTTAGTATAGAAGTCTGAATTCCGTATTCTGAAGTGCAATATGTAAAGTAGAAAGTGAGATCACCACATCAGCACTTCTGATCTCTATAAGCTTGGGTTGTTTTGCTCAAGTTTGGAATTAGAACGGTAACATGTTTTGGTAGTGAAGTTTGTATTTTTATCTGAAGAAAAGTACAAATATATTTTGTACTTGAAGTTGGCCAGAGTTTCTGTTTAATAGATCTTAGAACTGAAATTTCAGGTATATAAGGTATCCTCTTAATTTTTTACCTTTCCAAAAATATCAGAATATAGGGTTATGAGGGTTTGATTTGTTAAGAAAGATGATTGAAAAATAATTTTGAGGCATCCTGCAGGGAATTAACTAAAATATGTGGTTTATCAATGTGATTTTTTTTCTGCAGCACAGGAATTCTGCATTTTGATTTTTCTTAAATTATGAACTCAGTAAGCTATGGCTCTTACTTAAATTCTATAAGCAACTGATTATTTATTAAGAGAATAGACTTGGGGTTTTGGTACCTCATTAAAAATTAGGAGTTGGGGATTCAGTTTTGCCATAGGCACCTCATGACAGGCAGATCACTTATTTTTCCCATCTGTGAAATGAGGACCTCAGAATTTTGTGGCCTCATGTGGCTGTGCACTTTCATTAGGTGCTAAGATGCTCCAGTGTATGACAAGAGGACTTGTTCAGTAGGATATGGAAGTTCCAGCAGAGGGCCTGCTTCATTAGTGCGAGACTTGTTTCAGTGCCTAAACGTGAGTGAAACTCCTTTTGAAAATCTTTATGTACTTTTGAGAGCACTTGCCTTCAAGGATTTAGTAATGTCAATATAAAGATTAAAAAAAAAAAAAAAAAAAAAGAGGCCTGAAAACCTGTCGGTTTGGGGCAGAAGTCTCCTGTCATTTCCATGACTAAATAGACTCATGTTCAGCTTGTTGTCCACCAGGACCTCTAGGTTCCTTTCAACGAGGCTGTTCCCTAGCTGCACAGATCCTGACCTGTACTGGGGTCTTTGGTTACGTCATCCGAGGTGCAGGACTTTGCACTTGTCTTTGTTAAACTTCATACAGTTC